TCTGCGATCTCCAACTTCCTTGCAAAGCGTGAAGATGGCAATACTTCTTATATTATTATGTTTTCAGCTTATTTATTCATGAATATGAGCCTCTAGTATGGCTTGAAACTAGGCGAGTTCCTTGTCAATAATTACGTGAGTAAGCCGAAAATATAATAATATATTTAGTATGTCTCACGAAAGTCATAATACAAAAATACTTCATATGTAGATGAGGTCCATAGTCCAGTAGACTATCAGGAGCTGTTTATAAATATGATGTATGTATGTGTCTAAAGTATGACTTAATAATGACTATAAAATTTTGTGATAAACAATCACATGTATAATACTTAGCCACTAAGGCAATTGACATAACAAAGATATTGGTAGAAGTTACCTATATCAAGTTATAAGTAAGTAAAGAATATTTTAGATAAATTGTGTAAATGTGTATGGAGTACTGCTCCCATCTTTGGGATGGCTCGGCGAAATAGCAGTTAGAAGCCCTCGAATCCATCGAGAGGCGTGCCAAGAAGCTCATCAATGACGATTCGCTTGTGGAGGCTCGGCTACAAAGCTTCGAACACAGGCGCAAAGTCGCTAGCCTTTCGGTCTTTTATCGGATACATTTCGGTGAGTGTGCGTGGGAATTGCACAAACTTATTCCTCCTAGTCCATTTCACCACCGTACCACCAGACGAACGGCGGGGCGCCACCCTTATATGGTGGACATTCCACCCATTCGCACGAAGCGTTTCGCGTCAAGCTTCCTCATGCGAACCGCTAAGGAATGGAATTCCTTGCAAGTCATGGCTTGGAAGTCATATTTGACGGGAAACACAGCCAGAGGCTGTATTTGAGTGTCTTCAAGTCCCGAGTGAACAGGTTGCTCATAGGTAGGCGTGCTCCATCGTCGGCCACATCATCGCTTACCATCAGGCGAGATGGTGGTAAAACGTCGACCTATAAAGTATATAAAAAAAAATTGATCCCTGTGTGCCATATTGTGCTCATGCATTGTAGTCTATCCTCAAAAGGCTGGAAGCGATTTGTATAAAATTTCAACCAGAAAACGATCGTATTAAAAAGGAAAGCCTCTTTATTCAGGATTATAGGATTTGTTTAGAAAACCAATCTGCATTAGGGTTATTGTGCAAAGCTATTTAATGCGTTCATGGACAACCTTAAGATGAAGACAGTATGGTTGAAGTTTGAATAGATTTTGGTTAAGTGTTTTTAAGGAGATCTCATTTTAGGCATTAGCTTACGAGCTGTTTTATAAATCGAGGGAAGTGTTCCTTTAAATTTAAGGCTAATAATGTCTTGACGGTAGATGTAAATTTTTGGGTTTTCAATCTAACGCTTTGTTTATTCTTTTTAGGGAATAGGCCGATAAACGAACAGTCGGATCACCTGATGGTAAGCAATCAGCGGCGCTCATAAATACTCGTATAATCGGAGTAGTAACAAGTGCGTTGCCTACCTTTCGGAGCTTGATATTTTTAGGAATTCAGTATAGTGTCATTTTGTGCCCCGGCTCGAAGGGCAGGAGTAGGAACGGGGTGGGCTTTAGTAAGTAAGAGTCTGACACTCCCTTCCGCCCTTGAAAAAAAACTATAGTGTCATTTTACATGTATTCTACACAAGGACGAGCCATGTTTCGGCACGAAGGGACCGGCTCGACTGGAGTGATACCACGGCCTCAGAGAAAACCAACGTGAAACAAAGCTTGTATATTACTGTTTTTTTTTCAAACGACTAACGCAAGTTTTTATTCGTGGATTTCTTAAAAAAAATCTTACAATTTTTAAATTTTTAAAATTTAAAATAAATTTGTGCGAATTTTCGAGTAATTACATGAAAACAACATGTTTTTGAACTTTCTCATTTTATGGTGCAAATGAGATGTTAGTAAAATAAATATCTCAAAGTTTGCACAGTTTAGCGTCTCATGAGTCTACTTAGGTGTGAAACTTTCGTCGATATTCGTACTGTCACTGAATAATTCATCAAGATACTCGTAGAAAAACATAATAAAATAGATGTAGGCACCATATTTTAAAGATGTATGGTATTTTGTCCACTGTTCCTGCCAACTTACTCTTCGCCACCATGTTGCTTTTTTAACCCAGTGACCCAGTCCGAGTATTATTTTTTGAAGAACTATTCAAACAACATTTTTCTGAATATTAATCCTGAATCTCCTCAACGGATGACGTCACAAGAATCCTACATCGCACATGCAAAGTTTACAAGCGAATAAACACGGATAGAAAATCCCAACGAACAACTGTGGGGCAGAAAGCCCGCCAGGCACGATCACCTCGCCTGGTCAGAGGATCCTCCTTTTCCGATCTTAGGGAACTATACTCTCTGATCCCTAAAGTGGTGACCCCGACGTGATTGGAAACAACCTTCACTTCACGGAGCAGATTAGCACCGTCATCCGTATCGCCATCCCTCTCATTCATCACTTCTCCGCTGAGCGGTAACCAAGTCGCAGCCAACCAGCATCCTCGGCCTCATCAGGGACCACCATTACCTGCAACGAAGTTGTGCAGCCTGGTTCTTCCCTACGGCCTCACCAGCGTCTAGGCACAGCACTTCTGCACACGGTTCTGAAGGACATCTCCTCCCGTCAACGCAGATGCCGGCCACTACGCACCTACCCTCGCAGCATCTCTTCCCCGACTCACCGTGGGACACTGCGAACTCATCTCTCCGACTCACTGGAGTTTCACCCTGCACCGCTCACCCGACTCACTGGGCACTCAGCGGCACGGTTCCGACCCACTGGAACTAGGGACGTTCTACACTCTCTCTCGGCTCTGGCGCCACTCATCTCAAGCATCGACAGCAGTCTCAGCGGAATCGACCTCCGGTCTTGGGAGGGAGTGATGTGGCGACGCAGGCCACATGTCAACGGATGACGTCACAAGAATCCTACATCGCACATGCAAAGTTTACAAGCGAATAAACACGGATAGAAAATCCCAACGAACAACTGTGGGGCAGAAAGCCCGCCAGGCACGATCACCTCGCCTGGTCAGAGGATCCTCCTTTTCCGATCTTAGGGAACTATACTCTCTGATCCCTAAAAAAGCAATTGAAATTCGAGACAGACAAAACTTTAAACTAACATTAATTTATGTTAAAATTAATTTCAATTCGTCTAACGAAGATGTTACCACGTTACCAGGCTTAAGGAAATGACAGATGTCCGTGCTATGTTCTTCGTGTCAATGTGTATATTTTATGCGTGTAAGTCTATAGTACCTTTAGCCAACCGCCACTTAAGCGCTTGTCTACAGAGAGAGTAGAAAACTAAATACATGGCGATGACACTGATAAGTGTCAAAATTTACGGCAATTCCATATAATTTGATTTTCTATTCTACATGTAGACAAGCGCTAAATGGCATTTGGCTACAGCTGCTGGTGCCAATGCCATAGTCGTTATTTCAAGAGACTGTATCTGCCTTTTCTTCAACTTCCTTAGGTTATTAATTGCGGCCGTACCTAAATGCATCTTTTATAGCTAAGAGCCAAGAAGTGTTGTAATTATCCTTACTATTATAAATGGGAAAGTGAGTTTGTTTGTTTGTTTGTTCCGGTTTCACGCCGTAACTACTAAACCGATTTCTTTGAATTTTTGCAGACGTAAAGTTAGAAGTCCAGATTAAATAATAGGGTACTTTTTATCTTGGAAAATTTCGATATTTCCGAGGGAAAACAAAAGTATTGGTATAGATGGCGCTGTGTGTATTGATATATGTCACATAGGCTACTTTTTATCCTTTTGTGACGCGAGCGAACCTGCGGGTGAAAGCTAGTTCCATATAATTTGGTTTTCTATTCTACATGTAGACAAGCGCTAAATGGCATTTGGCTACAGCTGCAGATGCCATAGTCGTTATTTCAAGAGACTGTATCTGCCTTTTCTTCAACATCCTTAGGTTATTAAATTTCGGCCGTACCTAAATGCATCTTTTATAGCTAAGAGCAAAGAAGTGTTGTGATTATCCTTACTATTATAAATGGGAAAGTGAGTTTGTTTGTTTGTTTGTTCCGGTTTCACGCCGTAACTACTAAACCAATTCCTTTGAATTTTTGCAGACGTAAAGTTAGAAGTCCAGATTAAATAATAGGGTACTTTTTATCCCGGAAAATTTCGATATTCCTGAGGGAAAACAAAAGAATTGGTATAGATGGCGCTGTGTGTATTATATATGTCACATAGGCTACTTTTATCCTATTGTGACGCGAGCGAAGCTGCGGGTAAAAGCTAGTAATCAATATTATAACAAAATAATAATATAATTATATCTATTGTATAACGTTACACAATTTAGTACTTGAACCCAATCGTATGTAGCACTTATCTCTGAGAGGTCAATGATGTGAGATAGTGCTTCTACAGTTAGGAAGTGGTCATACAAGATGGCGTCAGTTCGGTCTTTGGCGCGCGAATGAAATTGAAATTGGAATGTTTATTTTTTTTTTGTTTTGTGGATCGCCTAATAATAGGTTACTAAAAAGTTTTTAAGCAGGTATAAGCAACAAAGTTAAGTCAAGGACATTGATAAAAGACATACTAAATCTCACTTAGAAATTATTGAAGCACCAAAATGTCAGTAGTGTGTGTTTGTGTACTTGCACACCTTGCAACACCCACTTTTCACTATTTTATGTTATAAGTTCTATGTAATAGGGAGTGAGCCTACCACTCAGCGAACAAGACAGTCTTTTAAGACTAAAACCTTTTTTAAATATAGTATAAATATCTTATAATCTCACCCCCTATTACACGGGACTCATAACATAAATAGTGAAAAAAGGGTGTTACATTGTACAGTGGCATAATGTGCACCTCTGCCTACCCCTTCGAGGATAAAGGCGTAATGCTATAATTAAATGTCTTATAATCGTTACAAACATACACACATTATGACCACACCCTCTAAGTTCCGCGACGATCGTTTTAAGTAAAGATTTTAGCAAAACATTGGAACATTTTGAAAGGAAAACATTGCAAATTATTGTTCCTCAACACTTGAGAATAATGTTTACAAAATTATTATGTGTTTTGGTAATTTTGAGTGGATGTGTTGGGGATCTGAGTGAGTTAAGTGAAGATGAGTACTTTGACGCTGTCATGGATATGTTATTGAATGGTGTTGATAGAGATTTCGGAGATTCTGAAGAAACTGGTGATGGTAAATATTTAATAGTAGACTGGTTGTATAGGTCCTTATTTTATTAAAAAAAAGGTGTAAATAAAATAGATACAGTGACTACTATTTCTAAATTGGTATTTTAAGAATTTGTTTTATTGTCTTTTAAGTGGTTATTTATTTTGCATTAAATAACCGTATTGTATTGTATAAGTTTTGATTATTTTTTTGCGAATTGAGTGCAGAATGATAGAAGAAACAAAAGATAGAAGAAAGAGAGAAGAAGAAGAGGCAGAAAAAACATTAATAATATTATGTTAATATTTTTTCTCATGTGCACAGGAATTTAATATCATTAACACTGATGGTCATGTAATAATAATAACCTTTATTTCTGATTTTACAGTTATTACAGTTATGAATACCATTACATAGTTTTATATATTTAATTAAATGTTTAATTTATTAAATGATATCCCTAAGCTCAGTATGCCTCTTGGCAAAGGTCTCCTCCAACTCCTTCCATTGCACCCTGTCTTGTGGAACTCTACTTCAGTATGGCCCCAAAGTCAGACAGCTATGTCATCTTTCCATCGGGTTTTTGGACGTCTAGTTAACGTGTAATTGGGATGATGATAGGATATGAAAATTAAAAAACTATTTTTTTTAAAAACGTTGCACTATTAGACACTAGGTTTTTCTCCTGTATCGTGGGTGCGTTTACAAACATACAAGTTCACATACACACTTAGTCTGTCACTTAGTACTTATACACAATTAGTCCGTAAGTTAGGTAATATTAAAAAGCATTAGACACGTATTTTTTATTTTGTCGTATTATAAAACAATACTTACATAAAATCGAATCAAAGTTTAGGAGTGGGGTCTAAAACGTCATTTCTACGTATAAAATGTACATAGAAGTGACGTCACGCGACATTTCAAATCAATATAATTCGTCGAAATTATTCGTTTCTGTAAGAAAATAAAAAAGACGGACATTAAAATAAAAATTAGGCATCTACCCTATTGTAGTGGTCAAAGTCGAGCTTAAGTATTGTTTCACTGCACACCTCAACCTTTGATGTCTTCAATGTTTTTTGTGCTTTACAGATGATGAACCAGTACTAAATGGAGGTGTGTGGAAGTGCGGACACTGTGACGCCATTAATGAGTCCAGACTGATCTATTCTGAGGTGAATGAAGTGGACAATGAAATGATGACTGATCAGTCAGTAGATATACAGGTTCGTGGATTTATTTTTATATTAACTTCTACCCGTGGGTTTGCCCGCAGGAAAAAAGTAGGCTATGTGTTATCCAGATCATATTCTATCGCTTTTCCAAATTTCAAACCGATCGCTTCAGTCGTTTTGTTGTGATTGAATAACAAACATACACACAAACTTACAAACTTTCGCATTTATAATATTAACTAAGATAATATTAATAAAAATACCTGGTAATACTTCACTGTCCAAAATAATAAAATTATGTTTACTGAAACAATTAATTTTAAGTGTGGGAGAGCCATGCTTCGGCACGAATGAGCCGGCTCGACCAGAGTGATACCACAGCCTCACAGAAAACCGACGTGACACAACGCTTGCGTTGTGTTTCGTCGTGTGAATGAGGTTATCGGAGGCTCAATTACCTCCCTCCCTACTCTCCCGAATTCTCGAATCATCCACAATCTTCAAATTGCCAATTCCCAAAAGGCCGGTAACGCATTTGTGTTTCGGGTGTCCATGGGCGACGCCGATTGCTTACCATCAGGTGATGCGTCTGCTCGTTTACCGGCTTATGCCATAAAAAAAAAAAAATATGGAAATATGATTGTAAATTGTACCTTTGTGAAACTTTGTACCTTTAAAAATCACTTAGCACTCTTTACCACCTTATTTACAGCTTTTCATAAAAACAAACATTCATTCATTCCTTTTTTCCATGTTTCCAGATAGGCATATCTCTGCCCGACATGAAGTGCCTGATTGTAAACTCCGACGTGCGCGGCGTCGTGCGTCGCGTTGCCGGCGCATGCTCAGGAGACTCTGTTACGCTCAGCGTGGCGCCTGCGCAGCGGTTTACTGTACAAGTTTATAATTAGGATTCATATTTTAAACTGCTAAAGATGCTTTTGATGTTATTAAATATGTGTCTGTAAATATATTTTTTTATACTCTCCATCTGAATTTTACTCTACTACTATGATTTTTGTATATTTGCTAAGTGTGGGAGAGCTAGGCTTCGGCACGAATGGGCCGGCTCGACCGGAATGATACCACGCCTCACAGAAAACCGACGTGAAGCAACGCTTGCGTTGTGTTTCGTCGTGTGAGTGAGGTTACCGGAGGCCCAATTACCCTCCGCTTCCCCAATCTCCCCAATTCCCGAATCCCCAACGATCCTCAAACTCCTAATCCCCAAAAGGTCGGTAACGCACTTGTAACGTATCTGATGTTCTAAGTGTCCATGGGTGACGCCGATTGCTTACCATCAGGTGATCCGTATGCTCGTTTACCGGCTAATGCCATAAAAAATTCGAAAGACTCAATATCGAATTTAATTTTGTCCAAATTGTGTTTTGTTTTGTTGAGTGAGTACTTGAGCAGTTAGGGTCTAACTGCTCAAGTACTCACTCACTAATACAATGGCATAACAAATATTATTATGTAATCTACGTTCAAAAATAACATTTACTTTATTTAAATAGTTTTAAAGATCAAAGGGTCACGGACGCGATCGTAATTTGGTAAAGACTGCAGTAGCTGGGCAAGTGGCTGCCGCGCAACGAGTAGCGGGTTCAACTCTTTTTGTGTTCCATAAATTGTTGTTTAGGGTCTGGGTGTGATGTGTATGTGAAATTGTATGTTTTTAAACACACCCACGACATAGGAGAAAATCCTAGTTTGCCACGTTCTACAAAAATTTTAAAATACATATTAGAATATATTTTCAGTCTTCTTTAAGTCACGGGTAAGAACCTCGCTTATGCCCACGAGTTGGCACCTTTCTATTTTACCTATTTTTCATGTCATCAACTCGTTGAAGCAGGGATAACTACTACTACCTCTATGTAATACAAGCTTCAAGCTTCCTTGTGCGTACCGCTAAAGAGTGGAATTCTTTGCCAGAGTCAGTATTTCCTGAAGGGTATAACCTGGGAGTCTTCAAGGCCCGAGTGAATGGGTTGCTTATGGGACGACGTGCTCCATTGTAGACCGCATCATCGCATACCACCAGGCGAGATAGTGGTCAAACGTCGGCCCATCAAATATATAAAAAAAAAATATAGGTCCTCTTTTATTTTTAACGTTGGCCCACATAGGGCGTGGACTAAACAATTGAAAATATTTTTTATTGAAAAGATAATTATAAACATATTTTTTTTCAATTTCACATTAAAAGTGAATCAAACCTAAAACCTGTTCTCTCCTTTTTCAAATACCTCTTACTAACTTATGAAGTCCTAACAACTTTTTTTTTGTTTTTATTTTGTTGACGGGAGGAAACCTTCGAAAGGTGACCAGCTTGGATGAGATTTTTATCTCACTAAAACCTCCCCGGTTCCCACCACCGCACCTGAAAGAGGCACCGGATCCTCTTAATAGCCCAACCCCGGAGGAAACTGATAGCTTTCAAATATTAAAACCTCACACTATGTGGGACAACTTATAAAACTCTACAAAAGCAGTAAATATAGAGAATATCTCTAGATTATTCCAACAGAACTGCATACAATTACCCATTATATTTCATATTATAATAAAAAAAAGGTTCAAGGTAAATAGCTCTTTAAAAATTCAACTCAAAATTCATGTTTAATAATTAACTGTATGGTCAAAACAAAAACAAATGTGTTGTTATCGTTAAATGTTTAGCAGTTCATTAGATTGTTACACAAACATGTTTGAAATTATTGTCACTATAGATTCATTGTTTAGTTCATTGATGCAGTCACCTAATTTCTTTTTGTGTTGCAGTCAGTGTAAAAGAACAGAGCATATTGTGAAATAACTTATCTATATTTTTTCGACTCAATTTTTAACTTCGACGTATGAAGTACCTACAGCGTATAGATTGGTGTTAAATCCGTGAGTCCATCCCAATCCTATTTAACATTTAAAATAAATAAAAAAACCTATTTATTTCGTAACTTATAAACATCGGGCCATTAAAAACAAGAAAATGTATTCGTTACGTCATGTTTTATTCCCACCACTAATCTATTGTATCGTAAATATCCATTCAGTCTGCTTTTCATAGGAATTTCACATGGATGACGCTACGGGGAATTAGCTAGTTTGTATTACAAGTTACATTACATACATACATACATACATAACTTCACGCCTGTCTCCCATGGGGGTAGGCAGAGACTAAAGAACGCCAATTACTACGATTCTTACATACCTCTTTCGCTTCAAGTTACATTATAAACATAAATACAAATGCTTTATTGCATATCACTACATAGTATAAAACAAAATCGCTATCCGCCGTCTGTCTGCCCCTATGTATGCTTAGATCTTTAAAACTACGCAACGGATTTTGATGCGTTTCTTTCATAAATAGAGTGATTATTAAGGAAGGTTTATATGTATAATAGGTACATGCATATTGCACCCGTGCGAAGCCGGGGCGGGTCGCTAGTTTTTTTATAAGTAAGTGTAACAGATATTATTATCATAAAAAAATCTAAAACTATGCGCTAATACGTAGTTTTATTATTCACAGCTCATGTAGTCACTCGACCAGTAAGTATGTGTCTGACGTATTACGTGATTTACAGTACATTTCAGAAAAACTGTAACTACAAAAGATTTTGAATCAGTTATAGGATGTTCTCCAGTAACTATCGTTATAAAGTATGTAATTAAATTTATATTATAATGAATGCTAGTAAATACAGATTAAACCTGTATTATTTTAAAACTCGGAGCTTCAAAAAATTGAGCATATTTAGATGACAGAGCAAACACAAATTGTGACAGATACTTATTTAGTATGGGAGATCCATGCATCAGCACGAATGGACCGGTTCGACCGGAGTCATACTACGGCCGAGCAAAAATCGACGTGGAACAACACTTGCGTTGTGTTTCGTCGTGTGAGTGAGGTTACCAGAGGACAAATCCTCCCTAATCTTCCCAATCCCCTACAATCCGCAAATTCCTAATCCCCAAAACGCTGGTAACGCACTTGTAATACCTCTGGTGTTTCGGGTGTCTATGGGCAACGCCAATTGCTTAGCATCAGCTCTGCTCGTTAATTTTGAGACGAGCTCCGTACAAAATCTATCTCAGTAAGCAAATCTACGGATAGATAGGTTAGATAGGCCATTTTCTGGCCATTAATCCATAAAAAAATAGTATGCCAGCGAAATGACTTCGCCTGCATTTGTATTATAACATTCGTGAGAGATACTCATTTAATTATTGTGTTTTTCAGCTTTCAGCTTACAGTTGTGTGAAACAACTGTTTGATGAGAAACTCCACTCCACTAGTTTCAAACCATTCTAAAGGGTTTCTTGAGCAGCATTTTACGACACAGACGCGCAGCTACAATAGCTGTGTCTGCATTGCCTTGATAAAAAGTAGCCTGTATGTTATTCCAATCGACTGCACGGTTAGCGCAGTGGCTACGCAACTGGCTGCCGCGCAACGTGTCGTGGGTTCTATTATCACACGGAGCAACACCTTGTGTGATCCACAAATTGTTGTTTCGGGTCTGTGTGTCATGTGTATGTGAACTTGTATGTTTGTAAATGCACCCACGACACAGCAGATGATCCTAGAGTGGGCCAAGTTTTTTTTTTAAATTAAATTCATCATACGCTAATTCATTCAGGTACACCCAGTAATTACTCATTTTAAAAAAACCTAACATCATGTTCAAGTATTATATTATTTTTATTCTGACTTCATGGTTTATGAACACTAAAACTATTAAACTCCTATGTAAAATAAGTAAGGATCTACCTTACGTTGTTGTAATAGTTGTAGTTATTAGGAAATTTTATATTTTCCAACTTTGAGTCTAAAATAAATCAACAATGGCATAAAATATGTATGTCGTGGTTTGTATGTATATTGAAAACTTAAAAATGAACAGCCTATCCTAAGGTTTATAACTCACATCACCTCGCCTTTTATTCTTAAAACGAGTAGCAGATGCACACGTAATTAATATAGCACCCACTTTTCGATAGTCATGCGCCCCAAACAGTAGCCGTCTAGGAAACGACCAAAATCATCCCAAGGTTTTTTTTTATAAGCAGTGGCTCGACGTTTTGCCACTATCTTGCTTAGGTACCCCTAATGCCCGGGCCACACCAACGAGAAATGCCATTGCTTATCACGATAATGCACGTTCACCGTAGGTGTAGCCACGAGTCAACGCGATAATTTGACAACGGCATTCACATTGCCGTTTGGCATTATGGGCATTCACGTTGAAATTTCAAGTGTAACCACCCGATTTATCCCGTTAAAATTATCGCAATAATATCGTAGTAAACATCGCTATAATCGGCATTGACGTTGACATTAGTGTGGCCCGAGCATAAGACAGGTACCCCGAGAAACCATATTTAAACTAACTGGATATAACTGGAAACCAATGATACTTTACTTTTTTATTGTTCAAAAATAATAAGTGCTTCATTTGGAAGCTTTGAAGGCCTGGCTGACTGGGAGGAGGAAAAAATTCATATTGCATAATACACGTTTAAAACAAGCTGGTTAATCAGTTTTCCCAAATACGTGATGATTTAATACTTATGCAACCTTTCCTCGTTACTTTATACAATGATTATGCTGACAATAAATTAAAGATATGAAAGGTCGACCTGGTCATCATACCATTTCTGTTAACCCTATTATTAACATACGTAAGTATAATTATATGTCCAATTGAACCAATCAAGGTTAAATAAATGGTCAACTGATGATGACAATATATTTTCAGTTTGAGTCAAAAATGGAATCGTAACTTTTTTTTATTTCTTCATTAGCGGTATTGTAATTTTCTTTTTATTGTTGCTGTATTTTTTTTAATTTATATATTTTTGGCAAGTTTCAAGCCTGTGATATTTTTAGTTATTTGGTGTTGTAGATATGTTTACTAATATATTTTCATTAAAAAACGCAAATAGTTAGTGCCTGGAATATAGAATTACAATTATTGTAAAAAAAAGACTAAAATAAAAAAATTTTCAACAATGTTGACTGCACGGTTGGTGCGGTGGCTGGGCAACCGGCTGCCGTGCAACGTGTCGCGGGTTCGATTCCCGCACGGAACAACACTTTGTGTGATCCACAAATTGTTGTTTCGGGTCTGGGTGTCATTGTGTATGTGAACTTGTATGTTTGTAAACGCACCCACGACACAGGAGAAAATCCTACTGTGGGGCAACGTTTAAAAATTAAAGAAAGAAAAGAAAGAAAGATTGTATACCAAAATTGTTTTATCTTTCGGAATAAGACATTAAGCCTACTCTGATAGTAGAAAAGAGACTTGTAAAATCATTGAATGCTATAAAAACCACTTCTATTCGTAATACCCAAGGTCAAACCTATTCTGGTCGGATTCTCCTAATAAAATGTAAACTACCAAATTAGCTGCATTAGTAGTATAGATTAGGACACCATTGCAAAACGAGTTGTACAAAAATAACATTAAATACTAACCTGACCCGAATAACCAAAAACAGTTTACCTTAATAAATATTACGTATGTTTATTTATAAATATTCTGGCGTAAGAGAGCCATGCTTAGCTGCGAATGGGCCAGCTCGACCAGGATGTTCGGTGAGGCCATAGTGTCACGGCCTCTCAGCTAACTGTCGTGTCACAACGCTTGCGTTGGGTATCGGAGGGTACCGGGGGCCCAATTCCCCCCCCCCCCCCCCTTTTTAATTATGGGGGAAATCATCGAATGACTCCTCCCGCTTGGGTGAGGCGGAATGGAGTGTCAGACTCTTACGGACTAAAAACCCACCCCGTTCCTTACCTACTTCTTCCCTCCTAAAATTTCGAGAACGTACCTGAAACTCCTCTGAAGTTAAGAGTAACGAGTAACGAATGGAGTTTCTTGCTCGTTCTTCTCCATTCGAATCTACATTTTGGAATGAGCACCTAGCTTCACCTAGCTTCACTAATGGACTGACTGACAGACTATCATTTATTTTGTATTTGTTGACGTTTCAAAAGTACCAAATTATGGTTTAACCCTTTGAGTACCGTCGTTATAGACACAATTAATGAACAATAGGTTGCGGTCACCGGTGTCCTCGCGGTGTTTGACAGTTTAATTGAAATACATGCTTTGACTTTGACTTTGAGTTACGAATGTTCACAGGCGGCAATGTTGCGGTTGTTTACCATCAGGTCACCTTTGTTGCTCGTTTAAAATCCTACCCCATGAATAAATAATCAATTTTTAAGACAGTTTTTTTATGGAATAAGCCAGTAAATGAGCAGACAGACGTTTTGCAGACAGTCTGGTTTCGCAACATGGCCGCTACATCTACATGTGTATATTTACTGTAAGTATTTATCATCGGACCAATAAGTTTCATTGTTGTGGCAAATCTTTAACAATCCAGGTGTGTTCACTCGCAATTTTTAACAGACCGCCAAACGAATAGGTCCTCTGTAATTAAGTTTTAATATTCGTGTCAAAGTGAAGTTTGTGTTGGTAATTATTAAAATGGTTGTGTTGACTTCGAAAGAAAAATCAAATATGTCTGTCGCTGATTTTTATGCGGGGAAGAGTGTTTTTATTACTGGTGGAACAGGGTTTTTGGGGAAGGTATGTAATATTATTTTGTATATATATTTTTTTTAGAATAATAGTTATGCAAGCGTTATAATGTACCTTATAATTAATGGTGTATCCATAAATAATAATATACCGACACCACATTAGAAAATAACCTATGTCTATAAATTAATATTGCTTTTAGTTATGTTTTCTAGAAGTGACTCTTTAAGAAACACTTCAGGTTCCAAATAATACAACATAACATAGCATAACATCACACCTTTTATCCTCAAAAGGGGTAGGCAGAGGTGCACATTACGGCACATAATGCCACTGTACAATGTAACAACCACTTTTCACTATTTATTTTATGAGTCCCACGTAATAGGGGGTTAACCTATTGCCAAATACCGGGTCCAATTCCTGACTCCATGCTAGTACTGAGATTTTTTTTAAAACCCAGAAATACTTTGCCCAACCCGGGAATCGAACCCGAGAGCTTATGTCCAATCAATGATATTGGTGTATAAAAATACAACTCAAGAATCAAATCCAACCGTACGCAATATTTCAGAAAATACAATCTGTATACAATACTACGTTATTTATTTACATATTACAACGAATTACTTCGGAATTGGTTCATGAATTTTTAATTTACACCCATTCAAGTTCGTCAGACCCGTAACTTACTTATACAATAGGAATTTGTTTTACATATATAATTATATATTTTGAATGACGTACTTTAGTGATATGACGTCATTCATACACCGGTAATCCCTGAAGGGTATGTAAAATGTATATACGGCCCTACACTCATAATAACTCATTAAAGTGTGGGAGAGCTATGCTTCGGCACGAATGGGCCGGCTCGACTGGAGTGATACCACGGCCTCACAGACAACCTCAAAAACACGTTTTGGTCCGTCGTGTGAGTGAGGTTACCGGAATCCCAATTACCCCCTCCCCTATCTCCCCAACGCCTAAATCCCAAACGATCCTCCAACTCCTAATCCCCATAAGGTCAGTAACGTACTTGTAATGCCTCTGGTGTTCCAGGTGTCCATGGGCGCCGATTGCTTACCATCAGGTGATCCGTCTGGTCATTTTGTGTATTGTGAGCAGAACCACACATAACAATGTTATTTTATATCGGTTTTGATTTTTTTTTTTTTCCAGATTCTGTGTACATATATTGTTATTATTACTGTTTCATTTTAATTCTAAGTTGTATTGTATGTTGTTTCGTGTATTTTTTTTTTTTTTTTTGTTTGTGTCCAACTTTATCTGTTTTGTAATTTTACTATATTTTCTCATTTACTTTCAACACCTTTTTTATGCTATGTACTTTGATTTAGTTTTCTTTTTTTTATATTTTTTGTAATTATTATGTTTGATTAATGTAATTGGTGTCTACCGTGTTAATCAATAAACAAATAAATAAATAAATAAATAAATAAATCTAAAATAGCGTGCTAAAGGCGATTTCTTGAGCATGCTCAGAAACATTTACCTAATCTAAAGTCTATCTTTAACCTTAAAACGCTGTGAGGAATTATTGTGACTTTTGAAATAGAAATAGTTAAAGGAAAAGAGAGTAACATAAGCTTTTCTATCTCTAAGTATTAAAACTTCTTTCGTTTTATTTAGAAAACGTTGCCCTATACTAGGATTTTCTCCTGTGTCATGGGTGCGTTTACAAACATACTATTACAATATCACATACACATGACACCCAGACCAGGGGGCTTACTCTTCAATCCAATTCCGATCGATCGACATTGGTATTGTGAAATTTCGTACTCTTGAGTTACAACACTAGCGCCCATTACATCCGTATTGCGTGGATATTGAATGAACTAAATGGTATTGAGTTTGGCTGCATATTCCGTACTCTGAATGCTATTCCAACAGCTACAATAGGGGTTGTATAGTGATGACATTGAATAATTATTGAGATTATCTTGGTTTGAAATTGCATTGACATTGAGATTGGTTTCACGAGTAAGCACCCTGAAACAATAATTTTTGGACCACACAAAGGGTTGCTCCAAGCAATGATCGAACCCGCTACACGTGCCACGCTACCATGCCAACCACAGGACATATAATATGTTCTGTGATGCCAACCGTACAAATTGTCTTAGCTGATACATCAATCAGATATTGTGTAAGATAAATGAATCCTTTACCTCACGGGTAATTAATTTTAACGCACATTGTTCTATAAAATATGAATAAAATAATGCAAACAGCACGATTAAAAACTCATTTAATTGGCCTTCTAAAGGTATATTTAGATTAGCACTATTAATTAGTTGCCAATTTTTTTCTTATATGCGTATTATATTGTAGATATTTTTTTAAATTTTACGGACAATAAAATTATTATAATGACCAAACCATTTATCATCATCATCATTAACAGCCGAAAGACGTTCACGGCTGGACAAAGGCCTCTCCCTTAAAGGGGAGGTATGTCAATCCTCACGCTTGGCAGGCGGCTTGGGGATTGAAGTTGGGTCACCGATGTATTTATGGAATGCTGCAGCCCATTCCTTTCTTCCTTCCTTTGACTGCACGGTTGGTGCGGTGGCTGGGCAACCGGCTGCCGTGCAACGTGTCGCGGGTTCGATTCTCGCACAGAACAACACTTTGTGTGATCCACAAATTGTTGTTTCGGGTCTGGGTGTCATTGTGTATGTGAACTTGTATGTTTGTAAACGCACCCACGACACAGGAGAAAATCCTAATGTCGGGCAACGTTTTTTTAAGAAAATAAAAAAAAAACAAATTCCTCGGTGGGTGGTCGCAGTTCAAAATTTTATACTGAATATTATAAAAAAAATTACGTATTTTGCTACAGGTATTTATTGAAAAACTGCTGTACAGCTGCCCAGACATTGATAAGATCTACATGCTGATCAGAGAGAAAAAGGGGCAATCTATTCGAGAGAGGTTGACGAAAATTGTTGATGACCCGGTGAGTATCATAAGCACTAGTAACCTTTATGGGTTAGCGTACCAACAATGTAACTGTAACATATTACAATGCCCTTGTCATACAAGGGCACAGACACAAGTCTGTGGAGGAATACAATTTATTAATTAATAATAAAAAAACGGTTTTTGGTGACGGGGAGAAAAGCGCCTAATTTATGGCAAAAGCCGGTAAACGAGCAGACGGATCACCTGATGGTAAGCAATCGGCATCGCCCATGGACACCTGGAACACCAAAGGCAATACAAGTGCGTTACCGGCCTTTTGGAGATTAGGAGTTTGAGGAGATTATGGACAAAATAATAATAATCTAAGGTTACTACATCACTATAATCACCACGGTAGCTACCATCAGTTTACCTTTATAAGCTGATGGTAGCTACCGTAGTTTTTAAATGTACCAGCTTTAAAACCTCTTTTGGTACTTTTTAACTAATCTGATGATTCAGAATAGACTAACTTTCATAACCTCAAGTCGATCGAAGACCAAAATTACCATAAAAAACGAATAGCATAAATATTGGCGTGTAGCTACTAATAGTATACTATCTTGATGAAGTTTTTTTTTGTTTCAGCTCTTCAATAGATTGAAGGACAAGAGACCAGGTGATTTAGGCAAAATAGTATTAATACCTGGAGATATCACTGTTCCCGGATTAGGAATATCAGAAGAAAACGAAACTATATTGACAGAAAAGGTGAGTTTTTACAGATGTAGGAAACATAAAATGGCTGACAAAGAGAAAAACAAATAGTCACAATATAGAAATGTAAGATCTCTGAGATTATTTTGGTCTTATGGAATTAGGGCTATTGTCCATGTTGCGTCATTTGACGAATGCACGCTTTCTTCAAATGACGAATGCACGCTTTCTTCAAATGACGAATGCTCGCTTTCTTCAAATGACGTAGGTAAATGTTTTTATAATAACTATCGTGAGACATACTAAATTAACTGAAATCGCGGGTCACTCACGAAACTAGTAGAGCTTTTCTCAGTATATTCGCGTGAGTAACCCGCGTTTTTACTTGATTTAGTATGTCTCACGATAGTTATTATAAAAACAAAGTTATATATCCCTAAGCGGTCACCGGTGACCGCTCTCCACTAACCACATTATAGACCTTATTTCCAATGTTTAGAGACCACTTTTGTATGAACAAATTTAGGGGATGCTTTTCAACAATTTTCGATAGGTTTACAAGTTGGGGATTGCTATTTAAAAACTACAGGTTCGTGACCAGTTTCAAGTGAATGACCGATGAAAGTAAATTAACTTTACAGAAGTAAATGCGTTTTTTTTAAAAAAAAGCAATTAAGTTATTTTCGATTAAGCTTTGCCATTGTTATGCAAATTAATAAAATGATTAAAAACCGTAAAACAATAATATATTTCTTTATTGTAGACATGACACATTTATGTAGATAATTATGTATACATACAACAATAATACAAACAATGGTAAACATAATTTTATGGATGTTAATTTTTTTCTGAGTATTTTAATTGCAGGTAATCGAAATACAAGATTTTTTATGTTTTACATAAAATGTTTGTTTTGTTGGAATAAAAATTAATTATACTGCGACATGCAACAGCCTCTCTCGGTTTACTACGCAATAATGGTCTAAAATTATCCTGTCATTTTTGTGAGTTAGTATGCCGCACTAACATCAATTATGTAGTTTAATATTGACTATCGACATGACTGAATAAAAGCTTCACTAAAATCCCCTCTCCTTTTATTTAATGGACATAACATTACATAACATCACGCCTTTTCTCCCCAAAGGAGTTGGCAGAGGTGCACATTATGCCACTGTACAATGTAACACTCACTTTTCACTATTAATGTTATGAGTCTCATGTAATAGAGGGTGAGCCTATTGCCATATACAGGCCATAACTCCAGACTCCGCGCTACTACTAAAATGTTAAAACCCAGTAATACTTTGTCCGACCCGGGAATCGAACCCGAGACCCCTTGCCCGACAGTCGCACTTGCAATCACTTGGCCAAACTATTCCCAATAGAATATGGGAATAGCAAGCAGACGGATCACCTGATGGTAAGCAATTAGCGTCACCCATGGACACTCGCCACACCACCACGCAAGTAAAGTAGTAAAGTACCATTGCCAGCCTTTCAAGAAAAGGTGCAATCTTTACTTGAAGGTTTGAAGGTGAACTAAAATTATTGCAACATTCCAGGTGTCAGTGGTCATTCATTCAGCAGCCACAGTGAAATTCAACGAGCCTCTAGCGACCGCGTGGAATGTCAATGTGGAAGGTACTCGTATGATCATGGCTCTGAGTCGCAGGATGAAGAGAATCGAGGTTAGTATGATGTTGATGGAACGTAAAACGTTTCAGCGGATATAACTAGTGTTTTTTATGATCAAGATGATTATGAGCCTAGGTATATTAAAAAACCTGTTACTTATATGATGTTAAAAAACGTCGTGAGGAAACCAGGACTTGAATTATAAGTTTCAAATCACCTGTCTGGTTTGGCATATCTTAACACGTTAAACCCCAGGGGGTCACCGGTCACCGGCGTACGCGGAGGATTTACCTTCAACAGGTTTTTATTGGCAGTCAAAGTCTTAATGGCGTCATGAATGTTCATTTCTTCTCTTGTAAGAGGACAACTATGCCTGGCAGTAGGATTACCGTATCGTACCGCCCTAATGAGGGTAATGGACACGGCAAGGTCTTTAGCTTGTCTAAAATGGTTTAATATTACTATAACTTTCGTGGGACATACTAAATTAATTATTATATATTCGGCTTACTCACGTTACTGTTTAGCGAGCAACTCGACTAGTTTCAAGGTATGCTAGAGGCTCATATTCATGACCAGCATTCCGCGATCCGCGATGCGGCGATTGTCGTGATGCTGCTAGTCGAGTACTTCTCCAAACAGTGACGTGAGTTAGCCGAAAACATAATAATCAATTTGGTTTAATATTAGTTTTTACAATTAAATATAGCACAATTTCTCAGGTCTTCATCCACATATCGACAGCATACACGAATACAAACAGAGCAGTGATTGACGAAGTTCTGTATCCACCGCCAGCAGATATCAACGATGTGCACCAACACGTCAAAAATGGCGTCACTGAGGAAGAAACAGAGAAGATACTGAGTAAGTGACAATACAGTTCTTAAAATGATAGGTACAATGGCTAAGAGCGTTTTATCAAAACCAGGTCACAATATAACAAAAAAAATCGAATGACTAGTTTTTAGCGAGGTAAAAAAGGAAAATAATATTATCCTCCGATTATGAGGTATCACATAGATGTGTTTCTACTTAGCACTATTACCTATCCATAATCTTATACTCTTATACTACATATACGTATTATATAAAGCGGAAGAATTTGTTTTTTTTTTTGTTTGTTTATTTGAACGCGCTGATCTCCGTAATTACAAGTATGATTTGAATAATTCATTTTGTGTTGGATAGCGCATTTATCGAGGATGGCTATATTGGCTATAGGCTATAAAACATCGCGCTACAACTAATAGGAGCTAAGCAGAGCGTGTGAAACCGCGCGGAAGTAGCTAATAAAACATAATAATGCAACATTCGTAATAAAATGTGATTACAGATGGACGTCCAAATACATACACATTCACGAAGGCGTTAACAGAGCATCTTGTAGCTGAAAACCAATCCTATATGCCTACTATCATCGTCAGACCTTCTATAGGTAAGTAGCCTAAAGGATCAAACTGCTCATATTATCTTTCTTCTATTTCTATCCTCTTCTCCCACTTTAGCGCCTATGTTTTTTGTACCCATTTCAAGCTATGTAGATATCTAGTCTTCAGTCAACCTGTCTGCAAAATCATAAAAAAAACAATATAAATATGCAAACGACACAGGCTTCGGGACTCCCTTTATTTACAACTATCATAAACTTTTTTATGTTTCCGATGGAAAATTATTATTTTTTATATCACCTTCGCAGTTTATTAGCTCGTAAAGTGTAGAAGAATTTATCGTGATTGTTTGACATGACACCCAGTGATTTATTATTTACTTAGTAACATTTTAACTACATTTAAATTTGATGCAAGTTAGAGGATTCCAATAGCTTAACTAAAAATCGCGGGTTAGGTACTCACGTGAATATACTGAGAAAAGCTCTACTAGTTTCGAACCACAGAGGGATTCTTCCTCATGAGCGTGCGCGGTCGCGGCGATGTCGCGCAGCCTACTGACTACAGTATTCCCGCGTATTTTTAGTTAATTTTATATGTCTCACGATAGTTATTATAAAGATTCCAATAGCATACAATATTTTTTTTTTAAACTTACAACGTTATAAAAATGGGCTTAACACTTACTAAAGAAATAGATATGAAAAACTTTCACCCATAACATACATACGAAGGGAAGGGGTAGGCAGAGGTAGACAAGTTTCACAAGTTCAAGTTTTAATAATCCATAAATGATAATTTATATTATAACTTTCGTGAGACGCACTAAATTAATGATTATTTTTGGCTTATTCACACGAATGTGTCACGGAATGCTGCTTATAAATATGAGCCTCTATCATGGCTTGAACCTAGTCGAGCTCCTCGTCAAACAGTTACGTGAGTAACCTAACATCACGCCTTTTATCTCCGAAGGGGTAGGCAGAGGTGTACATTACGGCACTTAGTGCCACTCTACAATGTAACACCCACATTTCACTATTTATGTTATGAGTCCCATGTTATTACATGGGGTGAGCCTATTGCCATATACAGGGCACAGTTCCAGACTCCGTGCTACTACTGAGATTTTTTTCTGAAAAAGCCCAGTAATACTTTTGTACTTGAGTAAGTCGGAATATTATGTAATTGATAGCTATGTTTTTATCCTATGTCCCCTAAATATTTTTTTCGAAATTCTGTATTTATTACATAACATAACATAACATCACGCCCTTTATCCTCAAAGTCCCATGTAATAGGGGGTGAGCCTATTGCCATATACCGGGCACATTTCCAGACTCCGTGCTACTACTGAAAATTTTTTAAAAACCCAGTAATACTTTGCCCGACCCGGGAATCGAACCCGAGACCCCTTGCTCGGCAGTCGCAATTGCGACCATTCGGCCAATGAGGCAGTCTGTATGTCTGTATTTATTTACCTGTATTATTATTATTTATTTACCCCCCTATTAACAACTTTATCTCTCTTTTCTTCCAGTGGGTGCAATCAAGGATGACCCCATACGAGGCTGGCTGGCGAACTGGTACGGAGCAACTGGTCTCTCAGTCTTTACCGCCAAGGGTCTGAACCGGGTCATCTACGGACACTCCAATCACGTGGTGGACCTCATCCCAGTAGACTATGTTGCTAATTTAGTGATCGTTGCTGGAGCTAAGACCTATCAGTAAGAGTTTTTTTAATGTTATACATCCTACATACTTTGAATCACGATTAATCTTTAGAACAGTAGAGGCGCACGTATATTTTTTTCTTTTTCTTTATATTCTTTTTTTGAAAAATCGTTGCTCCACATCAGGTTTTTCTTCTGTGTCGTGCGTGCGTTTATAAACAAACAAGTTCACATACAGATCACATCTAGACCCGGAACATCAATCTGTCGATCACACAAAGAGTTGTTCCGTGCGGGAATCGAACCCGAGACACGTTGCACGGCAGCCAGTTGGCCAGCTAAGTCAGTGTACACTTACCTCTATATTATAAAGAAAAAGATTTGATTTTTGTTTGTTTGAATTTTATAGACTCCAAAACTACTGGACCGATTTGAAAAAATCTTGTGCCATTTATTTATATTTTTTTGTGGGGTAAAATCATCCAATGATTTCTCCCGGGTCAGGGCGAGAGGGAGTGTCAGACTCTTACTGACTAAAAACCACCCCGTTCCTACTCTTGCACTTCCGCGGCTTCGTATCGGCATCAGCCCAGTTGGCTCCCATCTGTGGTGGTCTGATGGCTCCTTGCGGCGCGCACGGAACGCGACGCGCCGTCCACTCGGGCCTGGTTCTGATCGGGCGGCGAGTTACCCGTGCTCGCCGTCCGCAGGCCCGTGCTTACGGTAGCCGAAGATCGTCTCGCGATCCCCGACGCCCGGAATGTCTCTCGCGACGGCTGGGGCGTGAGGAGGTTCGTTCAATTTATGATTTTATATTCTAGAATGTTCTTTTTCTATTTCCAGTTCGAATGAAGTGACAATCTACAATTCCTGCAGCAGTTCCTGCAACCCCATCACTATGAAGAGACTCGTCGGGCTATTCATAGACTACACTGTCAAACATAAGTCTTGTAAGTTCAAATGAAATGAGCATTCAAATATTTGAATCATGTACATCACAGTCTGTATAAGTGGCCTCTGCTGACCAAAGGCCTCTTCTCACACGGATACCGTTTGAGCATTAATCACCACGCTTGTTCAAGGTTGGGCGATTACATAGTTACCATACCTCTCACATTATGTACCATACTGTATACCTTTTACTGGACACCTTGGATGGACTGGACAATAGGTTGCTTATGGGACGACGTGCTCCATCCTAGACCGCATCATCGCTTACCACCAGCCGATGGGCCGACGTTTGACCATTATCTTGCCTGGTGGTAAGCCATTATCTCGATGATGCAGCCTACGATGGAGAAAGTCGTTCCATAAGCAACCTATTTACGTGGGCTTTGAAGACATCCTTCCGAAAATATCCACAAGAGTATATTAAAACGCCTGGTGTACATTTCTAGCACCGTTTTACAGAATGAATTGTTGCTATTGATAAAAATTTAATAACTTTTATTCTTCCTCGTTGGCCGTGTGGTCGCTAGTTCGACTGATGGGCAAGGGGTCTTGGGGTCAATTTCCGGATCAAGCAAAATATTACTGTTTTTTTATTATCAGTAGCAGCTCGGAGTCTGGAAATGTGCCCGGTATATAGCAATAGGCTCCCCCCTATTACACGGAACTCATAACATAAATGGCGAAAAAAAATGTTTACATTGTATAGTAGCATTAAGTGCTGTAATGTGCACCTCTGCCTATCCCTTCGGGGATAAAAGTCATGATGTTAAATATTAATTCCGTACTTCTAATTAATTGTTTTATTGTTTAATATTGTTATTTCTATCGGTTTCTTCGGTATTATTACTTTTTTTTAATTGATATTTATCTTGTTTGTGTAACACACTATGTGTCTCGGTGTTGTTATATCTTTTCCTGCCACAGGCCCACAGGAAGAAATTCCAGTTGGAATATGTGGGGCCTATGTACTCTGTTTTTATATATGTATTGTCCTCTGTGTTGAGTGTGTATACATGAATAAACAAATAAATAATTCCAGTACTCTGATTAAGAAATACCATATTGTTGCAGATGTAATGCCACTTCCCGGTTGGTATGTGTATAGTAACTACAAGTGGCTGGTGTTCCTCGTCACAGTCATATTCCAGGTGATACCAGCGTATTTAGGGGATATAGGACGGCGCCTGTTAGGAAAAAATCCAAGGTGAGTGACATAAAATATTGGATTAATATATTTATTCTATAGGTATTGATGTGTGTAGTAGACATACTTATTACATAACAATTTTTTTTAATTATGTTCTGGCTTCGCATCGACCACTTCATTTCTTTGCACTTCCCTATGGTTGACTGTAAGAGAATGCCTTAAGGCATTAAGTTGGCCATTCACATTTATATTTTGTGAAGAAGAAATAAATAAATAAAATGAAATAAAAACCAATACAATAGGTTGATAATTATGACGACTTGTTTTTTTATTGTGTTTGACTGAATTATTATTGTAGACAATCATTTTTGCGTATTTACCTATAGGTCATAACCACTTGAATGCACCGATATGAGACACAATAGAAAATACACTGTGTCTCTCGTGGATCCACGTTTAGACACACGACGGGATAATTACGCTTCTTCTGTTTCTGTTTAGTGTGTTTTTCTTTTTACTTCTATTTCTTTTTTTAGTATGTAAGTATGTACAATAGACGGACTAAACTAAATAGATGCTTAATTATTTTACCCTGTTTTAGTCCCATTTTTCTGTAAGTAGTTACGTATTAAACTTAGCATTTATCTATCCATCTAGCTATAAAAATTAACTAAAAAGTTAAGGATAAATATTCTTATAGGAAATATAGCAGAAATATAAATATGTGTTACATTTTGATGATAATTATAATTAAGAACATTCAGCGCCTTCTTTTCTTCTCGCAATCACAATGTAAAACGCTTTTATTGTTAAAACGTACAAACAAATTACAATAACTTGTTATTAAATGGTTTATTTTTTCTTAATTTTATTATGTCTGCATTCTGCCTCGGGTTTTTTGCCTTTGACTTTGAATGAAACAACATTGTATTGTTGAAATAGTTCTCATGACAATGTTTATCTTTAACCAGGTATTATAAGCTGCAAAATCTGGTCGCGCAAACTCAAGAGGCAGTGCACTTCTTCACATCTCATACGTGGGAGATTAAATCGAAAAGGACGAGTGAACTATTCTCATCTCTTTCTCTCACAGACCAACGCATGTTTCCATGTGATGCAAACAGAATAGATTGGACTGACTACATTACGGATTATTGTTCGGGAGTACGACAGTTTTTGGAAAAGATAAAATAATATTTTGTAAACCTAAAGCTGGTGCTCACTGCTGGCACGGTACGGCGTGGCTTGATAAAGGATTTTATCACTAGTCAAGTTATTTTAAATCTTATTTCAATGAGTTTTGAATTCATATTACTTTATTTCGGCGCCATGATACCGACGGGTGTCGTGGTATGCCTTTGCATCTGGCGAGACGTACCTACCTATGTGACATTTTGTGTCAAGGAATTATTATTGCTAAACTAGTTGAAATAAGGTTGTGACTTGCACAGCGGTCATGGCAGAGTAGCTGGGCTTTCAGCAGAATGCCACGGCCTGCAGGGGATATCACGGCTTGCTACGAGATGCCGCAGCGTACCATGCCGGCAGTGAGCGCCGGAACTTAATGCTTTAAGTTAATTTCATTAAATTAAACATTAGATTAAGCGATTACCATATCACTGGTTCGATGTAATGACTTGTCGATTATCATATATGCAGCTCACGATTATTACGAGACCCGTATATGGCTTGAAAGTAGTCGGTAAATCTCGTAAAATAGGTTCATGAATTGATCGTATAATAAAAAATATGGCTTTACCCGTCTAAAAGAAAAGGCGTTTAGATTTAGATTGTATTGTCTCATAAGTATTTTAATGGATTATTCGCCATACTAAGGCTAAAGACTCACGGCACGATCTTCTCCTGCGCAAATTTGCTTTTAATTTTTACAACATATTTGTATGTATATATACAAAGGCTATCGGCCTACAACCGCAGCGGGCGCGGAAGAAATTCTACTGCAATTCAACTGCAAATTGCAGTTCCGATGCTGTTTGAACGCAGTTGACACGACTGCAATAGCACTGCAATCGGAATGCACTGCAATCGTAATGCTCATTTGGTTTCCAACCATTTGGTCATGACTGTAATAGAATTGCAATCGGACTGCACGGTTGGTTTGCAGTTCAATTGCAGTCGTGACACGACTGCAATTTGCGGTTAGATTGCAGTTGTAATACAGTCCGTCTGTCTAGAATAGTTAGCCTTAAGAATAGCAGTGTCTCTGAGTACGGCAATACATGTAATTCTTGTTATAAGGAAACGACTTTAAAAACAGTAAAAGAATTATAGAAAAAGGATGTCAATATGTAGTCAAATATAAGGCCGATGTATTGAAGAATGTTCGTATATGTATTAGATTTGATAAATTTATAGAAACAATACGTTAGTACTTTGTTCAAACTGAATATATTAATAAAATTACATTTACATTGTTTTTTATTTTGAATTTTTTTTCTTGGCAGTTTTAGGAAAAGCGTTGTCAAAAACAAAAAAAATATTGACAATATTTGAGTAAATAAATAATTAATCAGTCTGAAAATTACAATTCAATTTTTATGAGTTAAGAGATAAAGGTAACAAATGTTATAATGTTAATTAAAAATGTATACAGATGGCGTTAAAATAAGTTTTTTATTGTTCTAACATAGAGAATTTAAAAGAATTGTGACATAATAAAGATTACTTTTGTAAGTATTTAGCATTTTTATTTCATTTTGTTTTGTACCATATATATTTAAGCGCTATAAAGAAATAAAACCTACGCATACGGCACACTTATTCAAAACCAGTTATCGTGACCTTGCTTTGTTCAATCTTCCCGCATGTTAAAGGGTACGTTTATATTAGTTACCAGCCATTTCCCGTGATTTCGTCTGCGTAAAATATGAATATTAGGAAATATTTTTTTTTTATATCAATTTTCCAAAACAAAATCCTATGTTACTTATCAACTAACTGCCAATAAAATTCCCGTCAAAATCGGTTCAGCCATTCCAGAGATAAGCCAGTGAAAACAGACAAAAAATGTTATTTTGTTATGTGTATCGCATGTAGGTATATTCATATGCATGTAGTAAAAAGCAGTTATTGTAGAATGACATACAGACAATCCAATTTTATTTTTATACTTATAGATGCGTAGCTTGATGTGTAGCTATTTATAATCTACGCATACTAATGTTATTATCACAATAATGAACAGACAGTACGAATACTGACAACAATCAACTGGCTTTAGTCGACTTATAGGATTACGACTATATTTTACATACTAAAAAATTTTACGGTAAATAAGTAATATGTATGTTAGGAAAAACCTACAGTTATTTGGTAAAGTGTCGGACCGACACCACTATCAAACTAGACATAAGAATAGATTAAGTCAACCAACTTTGTGATTGGCGAAAGTAAGTAAGTCGTTCATGGGATTCTGTGTTAAATGCAATAACAAGATACCAGGCGACATACAACACCTAAATGAAACAAAATTTAAATTATGTATAAAACACTTTATGTAGACAAGCATATAATTATTAATTATAATTATTTTAAATGTATCATAATTTTGTAATTAATGATTATATATAGAGGATAAAAATGCTTGGATGCAACCTAGACTGGCTCCACATGATGACGAAAAACAATGAAATCCAGACACGTAATTAATACAGCCGTGTTGCTACATTGTATATTGTTTAACTTACGTAATTATTGTGAATGCGAGAGCCCTGTAATTAACTAAATAGGTATTAAATAAGACTAGTAGAATATATTTGTGTCAGCTAGGAGTTGTCGTGCTCACTCAAAGGTCTTATTGGCGGTGGCACGTGCAGTGGAGCGCTCGATACCCTACAATATGGTTGAGTTGGGCGGTGCTGGTGTACTTACATGTCATGTTCGTGAACGGTCGCCGTTAACTGGGACTGTTCAGCTCCAGAATGTATTTTTTAGAGTCCTTTAATGTTTGACACTTTGACTGTATTTTAGTGTTACAGACAATCCAAGCAACAAAACTATGTAACTAGAGAATTGTATTGTGAATGTGATTGAAAAAGAGTAACCTATGGAGTTTCTTGCTCGTTCTTCTCCATAGGAATGAGCGAATAGCTTCACTTTTATTTTTTTGTTGACGTTCAGAAGTACCTTTCTGGTCTAATTGAAATGAATGATTTTGACTTTGACTTTGAAATATCCTCATAGCGTAGATGTATACACCTAGATCTTTCGATATCATGATTGGTCTTTTTGTCAAAATTAAATTTCAACAGCGTAACCTTTTTTTGATGGGTAAACATCATCAAATAATCAAATCAGCCGCGGTCGAGTATCAGCATTACTTCCATCAGTGACGGTGTGATGGCTCTTTGAATGAGTCCCACTAAAATCGATCTTTAGCATGCCGCTTTCACCTGTATGCCATAGTCGTTAAGGTTTATTTTAAATTGATTTATTATTCTCAGTATCTTCGTCGCGCCTCCGCCGGTGTGTGCTAGGCCTAAGTACTAAAAATAATTCAAAATCTCAAAACAACTATGAATGAAGTTATTTTTATCTATATAGATAATTTCAAAATAAATACTTTTTCGGTGTAAACGACAGATTTTTTCATCACAATTTTACAATTTTTGAGGTAATTCGGTAGTTTCCAGGGTATCAAAAATATCCGTCGATTTGATAATGAAAAAATATTAGACACATACCTATTTTTTTTATTTCCTCGTATTAAGTTGCAATACTTACTTATAAAAATGGCGCAAAGTTTAGGAGTGGGAGGTTGTTACGTCATAACGTGTTACAAAATGTGACATGCTGTGACGTCACACGATATTTCAAATTAATATATCGTCAAAAGTATTTAATTTTGTGAGAAAAGAAAAAATACGTGTCTAAAGTTTTAAATTAATGTACCAGACGGACGTTAAAGTTAAATTTAGGAAACTACCCTATTATTAATGATAATAGTCACATTAAAATAATCGGTTTATCGATTGCATACTGATTTATTTATAATTCCTGTATTTATTACTTTAAGCAGTTAGGTATTTTGTTGCTAATGCCCTAAGTAGTGCCAGCGTACATGGGCAACGGTAACCTATTACCATTAGGGGGGCATTAATTATAATTATTTTTATACTAGCTTCTGCCCGCGACTTCGTACCCGCAATCCCGATATTTCCCGTCCCCGTTCTTGATTTTCGGTAAAAAGTAAAAAAAAGAATTGGGTAAAAAGGTTCTAAGCTACCTCCTCACTAATTTTCATCCAAATCGATTCAGCCATTCTTGAGTTATAAATAGTGTAACTAACACGACTTTTTTTATATAATTAAATAGATATAGATTGTTACTACCTACATATATATGTGGGATTGTATGTGTGTATCCGAATACTTGGTGAAGTAATGTAAGATGTTGAGTGAATGAATCTGAACGGACGGAGTGCAAGGGTATGATTGAAATTGATAGAAGATGGCGGACAGTTTATGAGCGAAGAGGTTACTCTATTTAATGATGTTATAAAAGACGGTTGTTTTTTTAAATACATAGTTTATTGTTCAAAATTAGTTTAACTGAAACCCCTAGACTCTACATATATTTACCACATACTTACCTATATTTACTTTCATCTCTGCACTACCTAAAGGTCGACCGTCAGACTATGCCCAATGCACTACATGTGTTTTTGAACTAAGTCTAAATAAATATTTAATGGAGTTCTGAAGGTAAGTTCGGGACATAGAAACATTTTTCACCCTGATTGTAAGTAAAAAAGAGTCGATTTTATATTTTTCATTCATCAACAGCTTATAATATGAGAATAAAAATGCGTATAAGTGCCAACTGCTAACTAAAGGACTCTTCTTGCACGGAGAAAGAGAGCATTAATCATCACGCTTGGTCAATACAGGTTGGCGATTTCAAACTTAGAGTTAAAAGTTATATAAGCTCAGGAAAATTATAAGCCTAAGTTTCCTTACAATGTTTCCTTTCACCGTTTGTTAGTGATGTCTAAACAATCTTAGATACATAATTATAGCTCGTAAAAAGTCACATTAGTACTAACCGTTGGTAGGTTTCGAACCCACATCCTCATTTCAAAAACAGCACACCACCATGACATTTTAAACACTTCGAGAAATATCTCGTCGTGACTTACTGCGAGTCAAGTTAAACAAAATACAAAACTTCAGATATGACTGCGACATGACGTATTATTATAAATCTGATAGACAATCCTTCAGTATTTATAAGAATTGAGTCCTTAATTTTCATTCATTTACTAAAATTAGACAGACAAAATACAAGTTAAAATTGTTAGGTACTAAAATATTATAACGTATTTTAACGCAAAAAATACAATACGATAATATCTGTCAAATTATGTTGTATTTTTAGTTGAAAATATTAATCTAATTTTTACTTTGTTGAAGGAAGGGTATTGTTTACGTTCTTCTACTTTTGTCAAATCCATAAGTAAAAATGTTGCGTTATTCCGGCAGAGACTATAATATCTTAAAACATTTTTACAATAGAAATAGTGTTGTGATTCAGGAAGCATTCAAAATTAGTTATGTGCGAGGATACTCGAATGTGTCTGGGTAAGTTTTATAAATTAATTGCTGTCTTAGTCTTCACTACATCATCAAGATCATCATTATTATCTGATGACTGAGCCACTAGCTGCCGTGGTACGTTTAGCGGGTTCGTGAGGGGAGCATCTCATTGTGTAATCAACAAATTGTTGTGTCGGGTCTGAGTGCTATGTGTATGTGAACTTGTATGTTTGTAAATGCATCCACGACACAAAAGAAAAGCCTAGAGCATAGTCAACGTGTAAAAAAAGCCAATTATCACCTGGAAGACAAGTTAGCACTGAATCTGAACGAATCACTCCCTTTAATAATGATATAGAAGAAGAGAAAAAGAATAAAGTGAAAAATCATTGTTATGAGTTTTATATTTTAACTCGTCGAGTACCGGTTTTATAGACACAATTAAAGAACAATAGGTCGCGGTCACCGGTGACCGCTTGGTGTTTGACAGTTTAAATCCCAAGTAAAAGCATAGAAGGGGGTAATTTCGGACTATAAAAAATGTATGTACTTGTGGTTCAGACAATTCAGATTGTTTAGATAATTAGAGTAATAACAAATGAAACAAGTGAATTTATTTCTACAAATAGGCTACAAGGTAGGATTTTACACGTCGTTTTACCAAGCGAACGATAGACCGACATTTCCTAACTGACTACTCTGAGAAGAAATCCGAAACAAACTCAGAGGCATCTCAGAGGTCCGTCGCTTTTAGGGCCTATGCACACCACTTTTTTTAAACGCGCCGTCGACGCACGTTCGTGGCGATACAGACGCGATACGCACGCAAGTCAGAAGCAGCCTTTAGACCTTTGCACACCTGTATAAATACAGACGCGCGTGTGTAGCGACACAGACGCGCTGGCATTTTGCGTTTTTAAGCAAAACCTCGTCAACAGTAGCAAGATGGCGTTTTCTGTGTCGAACTTCACATTTCCCTTTCCCTCGTTGCGGGGGAAACCCGTCCGTAGTTGACGACGGAGTAATGGAAGACGCGCACGCTAGACGCGCCGGTGCCGCGCGTTTGCATGGATACAAACGACAACAACAAACTGCCCTACAGGATTAAACTCGCCGGCGACGCGCGTTCACAAAACGCGCGTCGACGGCGCGTTTAAAACACCTAGTGTGCATAGGCCCTTAAAGTCCAGACAAATATTATGTAAAAAGATGATTAATATAATCGCTATTCAGACAGCGACATACGATGACGTCATTTGGATTGTAACTGATATTATGTTTTAAATCTGCGTCAATCGTCTTTATATCTCACTAGCTGTTACCGCGACTTCGTCCGCGTATAATAATGACTTCTGGCAAATTTTGGATTTTTTTATTAGTCTTCGTCAAGGTTAATTGCAATGCTGTGGAAGAAATGCCATCAGAATCAATTTAATAAAAAAAAACCACGGGGATTTTACCCGTATAGTATCCATTCCCGTGAGGTTTCAGCAATTAAAACTCCTTTTGAATTCCAATCAAATATGTACAGCGGTTGAAAACTCTCAGGCATTCCCTTTTTTCTTTTTTATTGAAAGCCTCTTCATCATCGATAATGTAGGATTCCAACGGTGAAAAATTTTTTCAAATCGGTCTGGTAGTTTCGGAGGAGATTCCATTTAAACAAACAAACAAACAAAAAGTCAAATGTTTCCTCTTTATAGATACTATCAGTGTAGATGTAGATTACAAATTTCTGTTTTAATTCAAAATATGCTAATTTTATTTTTTTGGTACAAAATTTACGACGCTTTGTGTAAATAGATATTTTTAGTTTTCTTTTATTTAATTTTTATCATAAGTTGTATATATTTAGTAATAGTTAGTATTCATTTTATATAAAAACCTTAAAATGTGCAAATATATTTAAATATCAAATATATTATTGTTGTGTTGATTGTGTTTGAGGTTGATGATGACTACCTCGTTGGCCGAGTAGTCGCAATTGCGACTGCCGGGGCAAGGGGTCTCGGGTTGGATTCCCGGGTCGAGCAAAGTATTACTGGATTTTAAACAATCTCAGTAGTAGCACGGAGTCTGGAATTGTGCCCGGTATATGGCAACAGGCCCTATTACATGGGACTCATAACAAAAATAGTGAAGTGGGTGTTACATTGTACAGTGGTATAATGTGCACTGCCTACCCCTTCGGGGTAAAAGGCGTGATGTTATGTTATGTGTTGATCAAAAAATTCGATTGTTCTTACAATAATATATATATATTTCTTCAAGGCCTATTTAATACAATGTTTTATTTTTAGTCCATATTCACAAGAAAATTACCGATCAGTAGCTGATTACTATGCTGGGAAGTCTTTATTGGTTACCGGAGGTACGGGATTTTTAGGCAAGGTTAGTCATTATGTCTCATTCAGATTAACAATCATTTCATATGAAATTTAAAATTTTGTTCATACAAAAGTAGTCTCTAAACATCGAAAATAAGGTCTAAAATGGAGTTAGGGGATAAACGGTCACCGGTGGCCGCTTTTGGGGATTGATCAGTAAAGATATTTTTTCATTTAATAACATTAAATTGTACTTATTTGGGATACTGTTCGACGATGTTTTTTTTTCTTCTCCTCTTATAATATCTTCTGATTCACTTCGTTGCGGGAACCAAGACAGTTACTCATGTCCCTGGGACGCGCCGAACTTCAGTGTTTCGGTGTTATCATGGTTGTATACTGTAGATCCTGGCTTACAGGAGTTGCAGCGGTTTTGGGAGGTTGTGGCGGGCTTGTCCCAAACTGTTTGACAAGATTACTCAACTAGTTTCGGGTCACAAAGAGGGCCCATAGCTGGTAGCAATATACACGCATTGTTCCACTGTCTCACTTCATATTTCTCACGATACAACTATTGTGAGAAATATGAAGTGAGACAGTACAAATAACTATTGTACTACAACTAGTACAATAGTTATTTTCAAAAAGTTTAATGTAAATATTTTTCAGTATTCTTTATAATTATTTCAGGTTTACGTAGAAAAACTGTTATATTCCTGTAAAAAAATCGATAAAATATACTTTCTTGTGCGGGAGAAAAAGAATGTTAGTATTAAGAAGAGAATAGAAGATATGTTGAACAATCGGGTAAGTAATCATTTGTCTCTTCATATGTAACGTCTGTCTCACCCACTATTACATGGGACTCATAACATAAATAGTGAAAAGTGGGTGTTACATTGTACAGTGGCATAAAGTACACCTCTGCCTACCCCTTCGGGAATAAAAGGCGTGATGTTATGTTATGTAACAGCTTTTACATAAAGAAACAGGTTACCGGTACAGACAAATACGTACGGGTCGGTACCGATTGGCACAGGCTTTATACTTCAAAGAAACAGATGCCATGTCGATACAGGCGGCACCTGTTACTTCAACAGTGAATGAATAGATTTCTATTGAATTATTATACCTGCACCGATGGGTGCAGGTGACCCATACAGATTTGCCTACTTCTTTATGTAAGCACTCTAAGTTACAGTTCAGTCTAGTCTGAGAAAATCTAAAGGTCACAATAAAGTCCAGACAAAACAAAATAATGTGGAAGATCAAGCTAGATTTAAGCCCTCATTAAAGAAATTTACAGTCTTCTTTCATTATCAACTTCTCAGAAACAGAAACTTTAAGTGAAATACAAGAAAAATATATTAACCTTAGAAAGAAATCCTTACGATCCTTACTATATAATATTATAAATCGGAAAGTGAGTTTGTTTGTTTGTTCCACTTTCACGCCGTAACTACTAAACCGATTGCTTTGAATTTTTGCAGACGTAAAGTTAGAAGTCCGGATTAAATAATAAGGTACTTTTTAAACCGGGAAAATTTGATTTTCCCGAAGAAAAACAAAAGTATTGATATAGATGGCGCTGTATGTATTGGTATATGTCACATAGGCTACTTTTATCCTTTTGTGACGCGAGCGAAGCCGCGGGTAAAAGCTAGTTATTGATAAACTATATTTTCAGTTCTTCACAAGATTGAAAAACACCGACCCTGATTGTTTCAAGAAGTTGGTCCCCATTTCTGGAGATGTTCGATTACCGAAACTTGGACTGAAACCTGAAGATGAACAGACTCTCATTGACAATGTAAGTGAAAGTTTATATTTGAGTAACGTCATTATAGACATAATTAAAGAACAATGGGTTGCGGTCACTGGTGTCCTCGCGGTGTTTGACAGTTTAAGTACTATTATGCACTGCCTCGTTGGTCGAGTGGTCGCAAGTGCGACTGCTGGGCAAGGGGTCTTGAGTTGGATTCCCAGGTCGGGTAAAGTATCGGGTTTTTTTTTGTAATTCTCAATAGTAGCACGGAGTCTGGAATTGTGCCCGGTATATGGCAATAGACTTACCCCCTATTACATGGGATTCATAACATAAATAGTGAAAAGTGGGTGTTACATTGTAAATAGACATTAAGTGCCGTAGATAATGTGCACTTCTGCCTACCCATTCGAAAATAAAAGGCGTGATGTTATGTTTGTTATGTATAATATTATAGCATTGGGGAATTTCGTGTACTTACATATCTATTTCGCTTCATCAATAGTCATCAGTCTCTTCATGCATGCTCATCGGTTAAGGGTACTTTTAATTCGGCCCTAGAAATAGAATCATAGCAATTGGCGTTCCATAGTTTCTGCCTACCCCCATAGGCGACAGGTGATACATGCTCTCACGTAACTTACACATAGGACATCGCCCAGTCGTACAGTCTCTTTTTTGTGCCTTTAGGCTTAATTCATTCTGCCTCCTGCAGTAATTCACCGAGGAAAGTGGAATCTATCGTTTTCTCTACTCCTCTTATAATATCTTCTGATTATAGATAGTATTATTCAGAAGATAGTTATTCATGTCCCTGGGACGCGCCGGGCTTCAGTGTTCCAGTGTTTTCATATTTGTGTCTACTGTAGATCCTGGCTTATAGGAGTTGCAGCGGTTTTGGGAGGCTGTGGTGGGTTAGTCCCATTAAAAAAAGGCATGAAGTTATTTATCTTACTGTGACATGTACAATTTCAGGTATCAATAGTATACCATGGCGCAGCAACAGTAAAGTTTACGGAACCATTACCAATAGCCATGAACACCAACTTCGAAGGTACGAAGAAACTTCTTGAGCTCAGTCAACGAATGAAGAAAATTGAGGTAATTTAATTCTCGTCTCATTTTTAACAAACATGCAATGTTATGTATTAAGGAATAAACTAAAGAGAAAATAAACCATTTATTTATGTGCTACTAGCTTCTGCCCGCGACTTCGTACGCGCAATCCCATTTTCCCCCCGTTCTCGTTCGTGATTTTCGGTAAAAAGTAAAAAAAAGTATTGTATAAAAAGTATCCTATGTCCGTCTCCTGGTTCTAAGCTACCTCCCTGCCAATTTTGATCTAAATCGATTAAGGCGTTCTTGAGTTATAAATAGTGTAACTAACACGACTTTCTTTTATATATATAGATTATTATTAAAATATAATCGACCATTCGCGTCCCCCCACCAGTTCACGTCCATGTTATGGAAAGCCCATTAAAATTATTGTAAATAAGAAAACTATAATCATATAAGTAGTATGACTGCCACGTTGCCCGAGTGGCCGCAAGTGCGACTCTGTGCGACTGCCGGGCAAGGGGTCTCCCCTATTACATGAGATTCATAACTTAAATAGTGAAAAGCGGATGTTACAATGTGAACATACGAACATGTGAAAAGAGTAACGAATGGAGTTTCTTGCTCGTTCTTCTCCACTCGAATCGACATTTTGGAACGAGCGCCTAGCTTCACTGACGGACAGACTGACAGACTGACAGACTGACAGACTGACAGACTATTATTTATTTCATATTTGTTGACGTTTCAAAAGTACCAAATTATGGTTTAATTGAAATAAATGCTTTTGAGTTTGAGTTTGAGTTTGATACCATAATGCCTTTTATCCTCAAAGGGGTAGGCAGAGGTGCATATTAAGGTCAGAGATAAAAGGCGTGATGTTATGTGCTATAAGTAGTATTTAGTACAAATCTGTTTGACCTTTTTACGTTTTAAGTATCTTGCATTCATAGCAATCCCTAAAATGGATGCGAACAGACGAACTTACCCTATGAACTCGAAGTCGAGTCTGTTTCTTCTTAGTTAGTCTTCTTATTACTAAAGGTCCCACCTAATCTTGCGTGTACGTCACTTGATCGGGCCTACGTCAAAGTAAAATTACAATAAATGTTTACTTAAATTATTAATCGTTTAAAGGTATTAGATAGGTGTTTAACAAATACGTAAGTTCAAGTGTGGGAGAGCCATGTTTCGGCACAAACGGGCCGGTTCGACCGGAGTGATACCACGGCCTCACAGAACACTGACGTGAAACAACGCTTGTGTTGTAATTCGTCATGTGAGTGGGGTTACCAGAGGCCTATATACCTTCTCCCTAACCTCCCCAATCCTCGAATCCCCAATAATCCTCAAACTCCTAATTAAATGTTTCGGGTGTCTTTAGGCGGCGCCGGTTACTTACCATCAGGTGATCCGTCTGTTCGTTTACCAGCTTATTCCAATAAAAAAGGTACCTAAGTAGCTTATTCACCAAGTTAAAATATAAAAAAGAAAATGTACAAAGTCGATATCAAAAAATCATAGCATTTGCATTGCTGTCGCGTTCGTACTTACTTAAATATATAACTGACTGTTAATAAATTCTTTATTACTTCTCTTTTATAGGTATTTGTCTACATTTCGACAGCATTTGCGCACACACAGAAACAAGTTTTAATAGAAACTATTTATCCGCCACCAGCGAAGGTGGAAGATGTTTACAAATTCATCGAGGATTACGGAGATGATAAGCAAGCAACTTTGAAGTTTATACGTAAGTAAAAAATACGTGGCAATGCTGCCAGCCTTCTGGGTACTTTCCCCACTGACGTCGATGCGGACGAATTTTTCGACGCTTTATGTAAATAGTTGTTTTTGTTTTTTTCTTATAAGTAAAAAATCGTGTGTCTTAGTGACCTGGAGATTGAAAAGGTTCTAAACCTACCAACACGACTTTTATGAATACGGTAGTTTCCTAAATTTTATTTTAATAACTTTAAAAACTTTAGACACATATTTTTTCTTTCCTCACAAAATTAAATATTTTTACGATATATTAATTTGAACTATCGTGTGACAAGCAGAGCGAGTGAAACCGCGCGGAAGTAGCTAGTTACCTTTATATTTATTGTCATGCGGGTCTATCATTAGTGTAGGCAGAGGCAATGGATTGGCTACACGATTGTGTCATACCTCGAGTATTATCTACATTTATGACTTTCTTTGTGCATGTTTGTCGATAGATTAATTATATAAAAAAGTAAAAATAACGCCTTATATTTCCCAATTACCAGAGACTGCCCCATCTTTCTCGATCTTTTGCTGTATCTAGCCAGCGTACTCCGCAGCGTACGCGATTGATTAATTATACATCATGCTTAACTTTCATTTATTACCCGATAAAATGACATGAAGTACCTACAAGATATGATTGATAAATCACTATCAAACAGACTTTGTACGTAAACCCCTAGTGGAAAAATTCTGCATAGATAATAATCATTGTAATAATGATTGATAAAGTTATCTTGAAAAAATATCTATTGATATCACATTAATTGGTAAAGTTTACTTTTTAATTGATTTTTAAGTGTAAGTGTGAGAATGAGAAAAGTGTGGAAGAGCCATGCCTACTTGGACACAAATGGGAATGGATTGACCAGAATGATACCACGGTCTCATTAGCAAACGGACGTGAAACAACACTAGTGTTATATTTCATCGTGATAATGGAGGCCCAAATATCTCTCTCCCCAATCCCCGGATCCTCCACAATCCTCGAATTCTTAATCTCCAAAAGGCTGGTAACGCATTTGTAACAATAAACGAGCAGACGGATCACCTGATGGTAAGCAATCGGGGTCACCCATGGACACCTGCAACACTAGAGGCATTACAAGTGCGTTGCCGGCCTTTGGTGATTAGGAGTTTGAGGATTGTGGGTGGGAACTAAAGGTTTGGGGAGATTGGTGAAGGGAGGGGGTAATTGGGCCTCCGGTACCCTCACTCACACGACGACCCAAAGCAAGCGTTGCTTTACGTCGAATTTCTGTTAGGCCATGGTATAACTCCAGTCGAGCCGGCCCATTCGTGCCGAAGCATGGTTCTCCCACACTTTTAATTCAGTGTATTATCAGTGAAGTTATTTTATAAATATTTTTAATTACAGATGGCCAACCGAATACTTATACATTTACGAAATCTTTATCAGAGGCTTATTTAAGTCAGCATCATGGAAATGTACCCACTGTCATCATCAGACCGTCTGTAGGTAATTATAACATAACATCATCATGCCTTTTATCCCCGATAGGGTAGGCAGAGGAGCACATTACGGCACTTGATGCCAATATACAATGTAACACCCATTTTTCACTATTTATGTTATTAGTCCCATGTAATAGGGGGTGAGCCTAAACTCCGTGCTACCACTGAGAATTTTCAAAAACCCAGTAATACTTTGCCCTACCCGGGAATTGAACCCGAGACTCCTTGAGCGGCAGTCGCACTTGCGACCCCTTCGCCAACGAGGCAGTCAGTCAGTCAGCAATTATAACTGAATGGGATATTACTATTTATCAGCCTCATTGATTGTTTTTATCTTTACACTTTTTTATTAATGTTTTATTGTATGTGGCACAGATAAAAATTTCTTTTTGGAAAAACTGATTAGATTAAGGAACGATGAAATATATGTCATTGGTATTTGTATGCTTGTTAACAAAACATGAGTTTTATTATACAAAACAAGCTTCCTTGTGCGTGCTGCTAAGGAGTGGAATTCTTTGCCAGAGTCTATATTTCCTGGAGTGTATAACCTGGGTGTCTTCAAGGCCCGAGTGAATAGGTTGCTTATGGGTCGACGTGCTCCATCGTAGGCCGCATCATCGCTTACCACCAGGCGAGATAGTGGTCAAACGTCAGTCCCATCTAATGTATAAAAAAATGATTATTTATTTTATAGAAAGCTTATGCATATAAAAAACAAGTAAAATATAGACAATGAAAATACAATCGATATATGTATAATTATTATCTAGAAAGATAAATAAAATTGTAGTGTTTGTAATATTTTAATATAACTGCATTTTACTTTACTACACCATTCTGAATATGCATACGATACACATATCAAAATATTTTTTTTACATTTTTTGTCTGTCTGTCTGTTTGTACCGGCTAATCTTTGGAATGGCTGGACCGATTTTGACGGGAATTTTATTGGCAGACAGCTGATGTATCACGGAGTAACATAGGCTATAAATTTTATGTTGGAAAATTGGACCAAAAAAAGTTATGTCCTATAATTCACATTCTACGCGGACGACAAGTATAGAATATAGAGAGACGTTTTCTGAATAGATTTCCTGAATAATGAAAGTTGAGAAATATATGTATTTACCTTAATTTAAATACTTAATATTGTTGTTTTTAGTGTGTGCAGCAATAAAAGAACCACTCAAAGGTTGGCTAGAAAACTGGTATGGGGGCACACCATTGCTGATGAATGCTTCCGAAGGTTGGCTAAGATTAGCTCGTGGTCACTATAACAATAGAATTGACGTTATACCGGTAGACTTCGTAACTAATCTGAGTATTATTGCTGCTGCAAAGGCTAAACGGTAAGGAATAGTAAGGAATTTGAAGTTTGTTATTTATTTATAGTGTTATTTTTAATGCGACAAGCCGGTAAACGAGCTGACGGATCATCTGATGGTAAGCAATTGGTTTCGCCCATGGACATCTGGAACACCTGAGGCATTACAAGTGCGTTACTGGCTTCTAAGGGATTAGGAATTTCAGGATTGTTGGAAGTGTGAAGAAGACAAAGAAGAAGACATAGAAGTGACGTCACGTGACATTTCAAATCAATACATCGTCGAAAGTATTCGTTTCTGTAAGAAAATAAAAATTACGTGTCTAATTATTTAAAATAATCTACCAGACGGACATTAAAATAAAAATTAGTCAACTAACCTATTGTATGAAGTTTCTGTAAAAGAGGATTAACATCGACCATTACAGTAAAGTTTTTTTCAAGTTGCACTTAATTTTACTTTCAGAACAAATGACGTCCAAGTTTTTAATTCGACAACAACAGCTGACAATCCGGTGACTTGGTCTGACTACAATAAATATTTTATCAAGGAAATGGTTCGGCATAGAAAAAGTGAGTTTTTTTATGGCATAAGCCAGGTAAACGAGCAGATGGATCACCTGATGGTAAGCAATCTGCGTCGCCCATGGACACCCGGAACACCAGGGGCGTTACAAGTGCGTTACCGGCCTTTTGGGGATTAGGAGTTTGAGGACCGTTGGGTATTCAGGCATTGGGGAGATTGGGGAAGGGAGGGTAAGGTCTAAAGCCTAAGGTAACCTCAATCACACGACGAAACACAACGCAAGCGTTGCTTCACGTCAGTTTTCTATGGGGCTGTGGTATCACTTCGGTCGAGCCGGCCCATTCGTGCCGAAGCATGGCTCTCCCACACTTGAGCAAAGTAATTGATTAAAGTAATTGATTTGTATGGGACTCAAAGAATGTATCACACACATACTTGACGAAGTTTTATGGATGGTAGTGATTGGTACTGTGACGACGCACATTAAAGTTTCAAAGACAAATGTAACCTATAGAGTATTGATTGGTGCGGTGGCTCGGCAACCGGCTGCCGCGCAACGTGTAGCGGGTTCAATTCCCGCACGGAGCAACTCTTTGTGTGAACCACAAATTGTTGTTTCGGGTCTGGGTGTCATGTGTATGTGATATTGTATGTTTGTAAACGCGCCCGTGACACAGGAGAAAATCCTAGTGTGGGGCAACGTTTTTATTAATAACAATCTTTTTTTTACACACCTACACTTTTTTCTACACCTTGGAATAAGCAAATATCTTCAATTATAATTTTTTTTTTGTTGTGGTTCAAAAGTGCCCTCCTAGTCTAATTAAAATAAATGATTGTGACTTTGTCTTTGAAATGTCAAATGATACTGATAATGATACAAAATCGCCGTGGAATGATGGGTCGATACGAAAAGGCGAATTCTGGTAGCTGGACGTAAACTGGCGAACCCTATCTACTATTTTTGTAGATAATGTTTTGTTATAATTTTTCAGAACTGCCTCGTTGGCCGAGTGGTCGCAATTGCAACTGCCGGGCAAGGGGTCTCGGGTTCGATTCCCGGGTCGGGCAAAGTATTATTGGGCTTTTTCAAAAAATCTCAGTAGTAGCACGGAGTCTGGAATTGTGCCCGGTATATTGCAATAGGCTCACCCCCTATTACATGGGACTCATAACATGAATAGTGAAAAGTGGGTGTTACATTGTACAATGGCATTAAGTACCGTAATGTACACCTCTGCCAACCCTTTCGGGGATTAAAGGCGTGATGTTATGTTATGTTATGTAATTTTTCAGATGATTTACCCTACCCTGAACTTTCATTTATCGAGTCTAAAACTCTGTTGGCCATTGCAACGCTCTTCATGCAGACAATACCAGCTCATGTCCTTGACCTTTGGTTGAAATTGACTGGTAAAGAACCACGGTGAGTGCTCCATTTTCTTTGTAGATTGACTATCGTACAAAATTAATTATGAAAACTGCCTCATTGGCCGAGTGGTCACAAGTGCGACTGCCGGGCAAGGGGTCTCGGGTTCGATTCCCGGGTCGGGCAAAGATTTACCCCTTTGAGGATAAAAGGCGTGATGTTATGTTATGTAATTAAGAATACCGATTTATTCACGTAATCTTTACGTATTTACTCACTGTAAACTAGTAGGTCTTTTCTCAGTAGAGCAAAGCTCTACACATTTCGAGTCATAGATGAACTTTTCCTAGTGAGCAGCGTGCGCAGACGCGGTGACGTCGTGGGGCCGTAGGCAGCACAATGTCGTCGCGTTTTAAATAAATTTATTTTCTTTGTTTTTATAATAACTATCATGAGACATATTAAATCAACTAAATTCGCGGGTTACTCACGTGAATATACTGAGAAAAGCTCTACTAGTTTCGAACCACAGAGCGGTTCTTACTCATGAGCAGCGTGCGCGGTCGCGGCGACGTCGCGCAGCTCACTCAGAGCTAGCTAGTAGAGCTTTTCTCAGTATATTCACGTGAATAACCCGCGATTTTAGTTAAATTTATTTTCTAGTTAAATTACCTTTATCTTAAGGCAGATAAGGAATATGAGGTTTATAAATCTCAATAAGTATTATAATACTTTGCACTAGAATTTCGACAACTTCAGAATAAATATAATTGTAGTACCTACTCGACAAACAGTTGGAAATTTTAGACAATTATTTGGTATTGACATATATATCACATGACATGAATTTTGTTCTAGTTTTATTATTTCATCGTTTATTTTATTAATGTGTCCATTTACTTTAATTGGTTTTTGTTTTCAACCGTTGTGACTGTAATAAATAAATAAATAAATAAATCACATTTTAATTATAAATTCAAATACAATATTTTTTAAGCCGAAAGGTAAATGCACAATCTATTATATTGTAACTTATATAATATGTAGAGGTATAACAAAAATTTTATTTTGGTATAAGCCGGTAAACGATCACCTGATAGTAAGCAATCGGCGCCGCCCATGGAACACCAGAGGCGTTACAAGTGCGTTACCGACCTTATGAAAATTAGGCATTTGAGGATTGTTGGGGATTGGGGAGATCACGTCACGTATATTAATGATTTCTTTCTTCCTTTCAGGTACGTCAAAATATTAGCTCAAGTAATTCTACTAAGAGATGCTTATGAACACTTCACCAGTCAAAATTGGATCATGAGGTCTGACAGGACGAGGGAGCTGCACTCCTCACTGTCTCCCGAAGATCGAGAGGAGTTCCAATGTGACCCCATCCAGATCAACTGGCCAGAATACTTGAGAGACTACAGCAGAGGCGTCATAAAATATTTGAAGCCTAGGAAGATGTATTAAATTATTAAAGTATTTTACAAACATTTTACCTATTTAATATGGCTATTTATTTTGTACTAGCTGTCCCAGTAACCTTACCTGGACTTCCACGAACATTTCATTACCAAAATTAAGAGAGACTAACGAATGGTGAGTGAGGTTACCGGAGGCCCAATTACCCTCCCCTCCCCCAATTTCCCCAATCCCTGAATCCCCAACGATCCTCAAACTCCTAATCCCCAAAAGGCCGGTAACGCACTTGTAACGCCTCTGATGTTCCAGGTGTCTATGGGTGACGCCGATTGCTTACCATCAGGTGATTCGTCTGCTAGTTTACCGGCTTATGCAATAAAAAAAATGGAAATTCTTTATTATTTATATAGATAAAAATTGTTTTTTTAATAAGAATTACGGACTTGGTATATGACTATATTTATTTTTAACTAAGCACTAACGGACCCCTCAAACATAATTTTTTAATGGAACAAGAATTAGCGAAATTAGTTCAGCTGTTCTCGAGATTTGCGCTGACCAACACATTCAGCGGTTCATATTTAGAGGTATATTATACATATACATGGACTGCCTCGTTGGCTGAGTGGGTCTCGATTCCCGGGTCGGGCAAATTATTACTGAGTTTTTAAAAAAGAGTCTGGAATTGTGCCCGGTGTATAGCAATAGGCTCACCCCTTATTACATAGGATTCATAAACTAAAAAAGTGAAAAGTGGATGTTACATTGTAGTGGCATTAAGTGCTGTAATGAGCACCTTTGCCTAGCCCTTCGGGGATAAAAAGGCGTGATGTTATATATATGTATATTATGCATAGATGTTTAGTTAACAAAACAGTAAATAAAAAAAGCGTCGACGAATAAAGTTCCCAATTCCCAAAAGGCCAGTAACGCACTTGTAACGCCTCTGGTGTTCCAGGTGTCCATGGGCGGCGCCGATTGCTTACCACTAGGTGATTTGTCCGCTCATTTATCGGCTTATTCCATAAAAAAAATTCTAAGCAGTATATTATATATTGCCTCAATATACTGCCTCATTGGCCGAGTGGTCGCAAGTGCGACTGCCGGGCAAGGGGTCTCGGGTTTGATTCCCGGGTCGGGCAAAGTATTACTGGGTTTTTCCAAAAATTTACAGTAGTAGCACGGAGTCTGGCATTGTGCCCGGTATATGGCAATAGGCTCACCCCCTATTACATGGGACCCATAACATAAATAGTGAAAAGTGGGTGTTACATTGTATAGTGACATAATGTACACCTCTGCCTACCCCTTCGGGGATAAATGTTATGTTATATTATAAATTGAAATCTTAATTTGGCTGCGTTCATTATTGTGATAAGGCTGTTTATTTAACGATACTTATTTTAATTTGCAGTCATCCACAGTTGAACCCGTAAATAATGTTTACTTTTAATTAATTACAAAATTAATTTTAATAATTAAGTAGAGACATCATAGAGGACATAATGTAATATTTATAAAACAATTTCTTCTGTCAATCTCAACTCTAGAAAGAGATAAAAAACTTAAGTAAATTAGTTCGTTAAAATTAATTAGAAATAATTTACTTTGTGCTGGCGAAAGCTTTATAATTAAATTTGAAAGTGTCGAGACAAAATCAATTCTGTGTTTTCCCCCTTGAACATTGAATTTAGAGGTTTATTTTACAATCTGTTATAATTTTTGTATTAAGATAACTTCCGTGACACATAGCATCACGCCTTTTATCCTCGAAGGGGTAGGCAGAGGTGCACATTACGCCACTGTACAATGTAACACCCACTTTTCACTATTTATGTTATGAGTCCCATGTAATAGAGAGTGAGCCCCCAGACTCCGTACTACCATTGATTTTTTTTTAAACTCAGTAAAACTTTGCCTGATCCGAGTATCGAACCCGAGACCCTTCAAAGTCAAAGTCCAAATTATTTATTTCAATTAGACCAGAAAAAAATTAAAAGTGAAGCTATTTGCTCATTCCAATGTGTATATGTAACAATACAATTTTCTAGTTACATACTTTTGTTGTTTGGATTGTGCAAGATCAATGTAACATTAAATTCCAGTCAGAAAGCCTTGCCTGGGCAGTCATACTTGCGAGGCCAACGAGGCAGTCAATATTTAAAACCTATTTTATCAAAATGTTACTTTCCTTAAAATAATAACAACATCTCTTGTTCCAATCCTATCTAATCTATGCTTACCCAATCTACACCACTTAAACTAAACAAGCAAGTACCGTACTAAAAGCATGCGTGATTATATATGCAGGTAAATCTGATTATTCGAGTCCTTTGTACGTCTCACAGCGGCTTACCTATATGTCATAATTGATTTCATTTTAGTACCTACAAGAGTAGAATTCATATCTGAGTAGTTGGATGTGGTATTGTTTCCATCTGACGGTTTGGTGACGTCTATATTCTGCGGTGGACGTCTTGTTGCTGTAATTTATGGTGATGATGTCTTTTTCAAAGTGCGTCGCGGAGAACCTAACGGGTAACCGGGGCTCCGGCTCGACGTACAGAAGAAGGAACGCCACCCCGTTCCTTTTTTAGTCAGTAAGAGTCTGACACTCCCTCCCGCCTCACCCAGGTGGGAGCAGTCATTCGATGATTTTCCCCCCTTAAAAAAAAGGCTCAAAGTGCAGGAGTAGGAACGGGGCGCGATCGCGAGACGATCTCCGGCCACTATAAGCACGGACCTGCGGACGGCTAGGCCTGCGGTGAGGATGACTCAAGGAGCCATCAGACCACTACAGAGGGGGCCCAACAGCCGCGGAAGACTTAACGGGTTGCCGGGGTTCCGGCTTGACGTGCAGGAGTAGGAACGGGGTGGTTTTTAGTAAGTAAGAGAAAGAAAGAAAGAAAAACCAATTATTTTTGCGCAGAACATACATAAAATAATTTAAAAATAAAAATAAAATAAAATATAAAGTAAAAAATTAATAATGAAGTCTTGTCCATGGTCCAAAGACTCATTATTTTGCTAAAATGATAGAATACTTAATATCTAATATTATCTGTGGACCATAATAGACAGTAAGAGTATGACACTCCCTCCCATGGGTGAGGTCACCCAGGCGGAAAAAATGAATTAAATGATATTCCATCCATAAAAAAAAACACTGTACAGCGTAGCTCATACAGTGGCCAATCAACCAATGGATAAACCAAAAGTTACCTCATCCATTACACCTTAGTTTACTAAATCTCAGTTAAATGTTAAACTAATGTAGGCAGAGGACTGAATTAAATTCTAACCATTAGGGACACCACTCTCACGTTCTTACGTAATAATAGATATTGTTGTGTATGGATTAACATATATTTTTGTACATACATAGTCTTTGAACACTGTCTAAGAAAACTCAAGATCAATAATTAAAATTAAAAAAGAAATGTTGATAAGGGCTGAAATAACTGACAATTGGGATGATGACAGGGTATCAAAATTAAAAATCTAATTAGTCCGTAAGTTGAGTAATTAAAAAATATTAGACACGTATTATATAGTATTAACAGGTTTTAGGTATTTAGGTTAGTATAACAATCACTCACAACACAACACTCGTTTTAATAAAAGTATCAATTTTAAAACCACTTATCTACATGCCAAATTACACCTTAATCCTTTAAACCCTTAAGGTGTTATTGGCTTACAGCCTTCCAAATATCGTAATCACTTTACTAGAATAAATCGCAACGGCTTTTTGATGTGTCAATTTAGATGTTATTACTTTGACATCCTGTTTAATGTTGCCATAAATCATGCGACGCCATTTAGAGCAATGTGTTACCAGACTCAAATATTAAATGAAATTATATTGAAATGGCGAGGCGTCTATAAAAAAAAAAAAAAATTGATCATAATATTGGAAATATTAAATATGCAAGTTTGTTCTAATTTATGCTGTTTGCAGCTGGTGATCTTAATTATTTTTTTAATCTTTCATAAAGTTATAAATGTATCAAATTCGAAAATATAGTTTTTGTAGTGAAATAGGCAGTAAAGGCAAGAAATGCAAGGCTAATTGATGGAAGGTAAAACGTATCAATGAATTGAGGTATATTTAGACTTTTGGTTTGTATTTCCAATATAATGGCAACGCGTATGAGTGTGGGAGTGCCATGCTTCGGCACTGCTGTGCCGGCTAGACTGGAGTTTTACCGCGGCCGAGCAGTAAACCTAAGTGAAACAACGCTTGCGTTGTTTCGTCGTGTGAGTGGGGTTACAGGAGGCCCGATTACCCCTCCCTTTCCAAATCTCCCCAATCTCTGAATCCCCGACAATCCTCAAATTTCTAATCCCCAAAACTCCGTGGTTCGAAACTAGTAGAGCTTTTCTCAGTATATTCACGTGAATAACCCGCGATTTAGTATGTCTCACGATAGTTCTTATAAAATAATAATTTGATACTTTTCAATAATCATTTAAATCTTAATCCAATACAAAATTCAATGTAACCATATTTTTTTCAACTGTAGACCTCAAAGTCTTTGGAAAAGATCTTAGTCTCTTAAGAACCTTTTATACTACTTACAAAGCCCTTTCAACAGGTAATCCAGGTACTTAGAGCCTGAATAATATGATTACATACACTCATTCACTTTATATTCCAAGATTATCCTGTAAACCATCAGGGGGATGAATTTTATCCCACCAAGGGTGTTTTTGAAGAGATGATTTAGGTGTAAATTGTACGCTAAGCAAAGCCAGTGGCGACCCCTAGTGATTAAGATGCAAATTAGAAACGATACTTGCTTATCTGTTAGCTTTTCAGTGGCTGTCTTTTGAGGTTTTACCATTTTAATTTTGACCCTGAGAACGGTTTATCTGTTCCTTTTTTAGAAAGGTTGTATGTGGTCTGTTTGATGCAAAAATCTAGCTGAAAGTGAGTTGGTGTACTATTCTAACAGTAATCTTTCAGAATGATACTCATGATACTAAAGTGATACTCACTATGATCATTTAGTATCATACTTACATACTACCGATTCATGGTAGAT